TTACTTGTGACTTGCAAAGCAGTGACTTGGTCACACCTCTGCTTACCTGGACCGCAGACAGAACAATTTCACTTTGAAAAGTCAGCAAGAATCTCTCATGATGTGTCCTAACTAAATGGTGCTCACAAAGAAATTCATTTAGGAGCAAATGTATATGTTCTAAAACACCTCAAACCTCAAATTTGTTAAAAGTCTCAAGTTAGTTTGGTTGTGGTTTTTTACAATGCACCACGTTAGCATCAGATCGTTACTCTGACCTAAAACACCAAATGCACCACAAACCATGCTCCAAAACAGACAAAAATAAACACGAACCCAGCTTTTCCACCGTATGTATGACATAATAGGGTTCTGGGGTTTTCCCACGGAGCTCTGTGGCGTGTCCCTTCCCACAGGGAGCTTTTCAGACGTGAATCGGCAGCAAAATAGTTCCAAGCAGCTGATCCCTCAGGATCACAAGCCACTGAAAATTGCAAGATCACGCATGGTTTAACCAGTTCACGTGATAACAAGCAAGGAGAAAGATGGCAGCATTTATCCAAAAGATCTGTGGTTTATTTTATGTCCATTTTACCTCAGCTAAGGAGGTTTAGCTGGTAATGACATATTTGGCTGAAGAAATTCTTGAACCATAGCGTGTTAAAAAAAAAAAAAAGACCCAAAGTGTAAATTTACTGCAGCGACGCAACGCTATGCTTCTGGGACGCATCCAAAACACACCACTTTGCTGCTGGTGGAAACAAACCAATTAACCATAATGCCTGCTACATGGTTTGCGTACGTTTTGTGACACTAAAGCCTGGTTTATGCTTCTCCGTCAGCTCCGCAAGGGACAGACACGCACGGATTGACAGAAGCGTTCTGCTCTTTTACTTCTCCGTCTCCTGGAGAGTGTTGCAAAGCAATTGCCTGGCAGGACCACAGAGGGCATAGCGCAGTTCTGTGGTATCCTGTCATGTATCGGTCCAAGATTGTGTATTTATATTGTGTTTTATGTGTATATAAGAGACTTTTAACACGGACATATTTGTCTCATTCTCCCACCGCTTCATGCGCTCCCCACCTCTAAACCCACATTTCCTGTCATTTCCGTCCACTAATAAAACGCTTGCTGCGCATCTTTTCACTCCTCCAGTCACGGGAGGTTGAAACATTCATATTTTTAGAGTTTTTTCGTGAGGTATTCTTCAAGCTTCTCCATGTCTGCCGCTAGTTATCCTCAGCTCTCTTTGCAATGGCGGCGCTGTAAACAACAGCCTGACTAATCACAAGCTTGCGTAATCCGTCTCGTTCGACGGATGTTTAAAAATGTAGGCTCGACTCCGCACGTACTTGCGTGCCTGCCGGAGCCCTACGCAAGGACGGATAATGGCGTTGCGTGTCTCCGCACTGACGCAGACGGAGAAGCATAAATCAGGCTTAAGGCTTGGAACATACCTGCTTTTTAATCACACACTGACATAGGCAGCAGGCTGCTGCGTTGCATTAAGTACTGGAATACTCCGCTAGGGGGCACACTAGAGAACTCAGACCGGATGGAGAACAGGATTTGTTTGGTACAAACAAAACAAATATGGCAACAATAAAAGAGATCAGCAGCTGGTTAATTTTGAGATCACGACAGAAGAAAGACAACAGCGGTATTGCAGATGGTAAGTAGACCTGTAAACTGGACACGGCGTGACAATGAAGATTATGTCTCGCACGCCAATTTGAGACCCCTCCTCCTGCTGGTTACTTACATGTTGCAGCTTGTGAACACATTGCATTTATTTCAGAGGACATGCCCAAACGATGCTTCAAACGAACACAAGTTACACGAGGGAGCCATGATAAACACGTGTCCGCAAGCAAGTATAATCTCTAGAAAGAAACAATCAAGATCATCCCTGAAAATACAGAAATTTCATTTTAGACTGAAATATATTTCCACTGAAACCTCCACCAAAGAATATAAACGATACACTGATTGGCATCTGACCCTAAGTCTGCTACAAAAGTCTGTCCTTCAGAAAAAGAGGAATTCTTTGAGTATTTTCCTGCTTGCGTCGTCGGTTGTGTTGTTGCACCTGGAGGCATCAGCTTCTTCCTGGATGTTTTGAGGTATTTAGAGCAGCTCCCGCTGACACCCAGCTATTCAGAGAACATCGGATCAAAAAGGTCATTAGAAACATTAATGCTGACTTTGTTTTATTTTTAATTTATTTATTTTACAGAAAAACTCTAAATATGTTAATGTCGTCTTAAATGTCCAGACAGTAATAAAGTTGACTGAATCAAACTAATTCTGATCTGAATCTGTTCTTTAAGTGTTATCTACTCTAGTTATAAAAACATTTCTATTCACAGCAGTCAAAAATTGCCATTTGTATGGATATATTTCCATTTTTACTGCAGGAACGTGGGGATTTTTTATGTGTGACACATTTATACGCTGCCATTTTCATTAACACCGCCTTGTTTCTGTGGAGCTCCCAGAGGCAGACTCGTTTTGTCAGCCAGGCTTTGGATCAGGCCACCTGTCAACTTATTTCTGTTCACGGTTTCCTCTGTCAAACACTTGCTGACATTCCCCTCTGTGCCACACACAGCACCTGTGATTGGCTCGCCTGTTACCATCACAGCTGTCAAGCTCACCCTCACTGTTAATTAAAGTGACAGACCTCCCAAAAAGCTGTTTATTCCACCAGCTTGGTGATTTCAGCCAACCATATTAAAGCCAGAGTCCAATAAGAGGGCTGTAAATATTAAATGTGGGATGAAATGTAAACCCCTTAGTTTTATACATGACTTGAGTGTTTTTTAATCAGAGATTAAATCCATTAGATGTTTTTGATTAGATTTTTCTTTTTAAACAGGTCCTTCACTCATATAGTGGTCTCTAGAAGGAATTAATGCCTTGTAAGACATACTCGGTGGGGAAAAAAGCTCAGATGCACTTGTTTCAGCATGGAGAATTACACTGAATGAGAAACTTCAGACAACAGGATTTGGAGTCCTATTTCCTGATATTTGGATATCTCACCTCTGATTGGATAACACCAACATGACTCTACCACTGACTTCTGCCACGTTGATGTTTAATCTACACAAAAAAACACAAGCCTGAAGGAGTTCTGCTGTGTGGTGGAGTTGCTAACGCTAACAGTTAGCTTCTTCTAGTCAAGACATTCTCTGCTGTTTTCTAGACAGTAAATCAACAGCAGCCTTCACCGTTGAGAGCCAAAATGGTTGAGTCCAAGCAACAGCTTGACAGATCTGTCAGGCTTTTCTAATCCGAGAGTTTCATCGTCTATTTTCTATCAGAAGCTAATGCAGGAGATAGGTGTAGGAGATTATTTTCATGTTAGGCCTGCATGAAAACTCAAAAATAATAAGTAAAAAAAAAATGGTTTTTCAGTGAAGGACCTCTTTAACTGACAAAGAGTTGATAATACTTTTGACATCAAAATTGAGATTTTTTGTCACTTTATTTAAACTAATACCAAATGAATATTTGCTGACCAAATAAAATGGATATAACACAAATATGAGAATGTAGCGTTATGGATTTATGCTCTTTTATGAAAGAGAAACCATGCTACGTATTAATTCGGAATATTAATTTTAATAAATCAATAACCAAATTTTATATTGTTCAGAAGACTCAAAGGTTGTTTTCATCCATAAACTGCCGATAATATCTGAGTGTCTGTTTTTCAGTTCAATGAGGAAACAAGTTTGAAGGATTAAAAGTTTTAATTCTTCAAATTAAACTAATGATTTTGAAAATTGACAAACAGGAAATAACAATCACATTGGCAACTTTGTGGGACAATCTTTTAACAGTTTATATGCTGTTCTTGCTCAAATAGACCTTCTGGTGAATTTATGAAGATTGAGAATGTTGTGACATGAATGCGTGTGTGAGTCTGATTTTGCTTCAAGAAGAAACAGGTGTCTGAGTGAAGTGATGGTTTGGATAAACTTAGGTCTTATCAGAGAACTGCATCAAACGCTAAAAACCGTGCTCTGTCTCACCGAACTCTTGTGGACCCTCTTTCGGATCCGGGCCGTGGAGGATGTTGTGGTTCATCCAGATGACACCGGCGGCTGACAGGAGACGTAGGTGTCGAACGGAACCGGTCCAGAGTTGCCCTCGGTACACGTGGATGGTAGAGCGTTTTATCGATGCGCTTTCTTAAGTTAATTCACTCAGAAATCAAAAGACTCGGTAATGAGTCTTCGTTAGAAGTCGCGATTCAGCTATTCTGCCTGGCTTGGCAGAAACAGCTTGAAAGGGGGGAAGAACGAGCCAACAGGCTCTGCCCCCCCTTTGGTTTTCAGGTCTGTTCTTTCTCGTTGTCCAACACGAACTGAATCATAAAACTGAAAACTTACCAAAAACCTCTCTTCTCAAAGCAAAACATGTACGTCATCAAATGTGTCTGGATTTTACTGTGGGAAGGTGTGTGTGGGTGTGTGTGAATGTTTGTGTGCTTGAGTGTGAAGGTCAGTACCAAACATTCAACATTATCTACTTAAGTGTGGATTCATTAATCCATTATAATTACCCCAAAGCATAAGAACCATTCATTTGATTAAACACATTTATAATGAGCAAAATGATAATGGTTATTTTAACATTAAAATCAAGAAAAAGAAGTTTAAACTTTATGTTTTGACTTGGTCTGGGTACAACTCATGTAAACACATCTTCTGGTAGACTGCAGGTGGCTGATGTTATGGTTTCCTCCCAGACTCGCTGGCGTTCAGGACTTAATCTGTGGGTGAAAGTTCTCAATGACCCAGCTTTCACCTAGCTGCGTCCAGCACCACCTTTGTGATAGAAAACCCATATTTCCTCACGTTACATACCCCCCCTTTTTGTGACGACATGGTGGTCAAGCACAGGCCACCTGCCGTTACAAACACAATAACGTGATGTACTCGTGAAGGTAGACATCCCAGATGAAGGCAGGAACGATGAAGTGTCACCACAGGACTCGTGTAGAAGGGAGTCTATCCTGATCAGATGATTAAGGCCAAAACTGTTGCAATCATTGTAAAGTAATCCACTTAGGAAATCTTGAAAGCAGAGCTATTTCAATAGCAGTTAATTTCATCAGCAATAATGCAAAGGTATGCAAAGGATAAGCAGCTCGTGTGCCACACGGAGCTGGGCAGGTGATGTATTCCTCAGGCGTAGTCCAGGCGAAGTCCAGTGATGACCTCGACCCATCTCGAACCACGACCGAAGCCCCATGCGACAGAAAACCAGTTGAAGGATGGTGAAGACGGCCCCTCTGATGGGATGTAGTCCATACGAGCTCGGAGAAGGAGACAAAGTGAGACAGCCCACACGATAGATAGCATTTGATGCAAAACAAAGAAATCAATCAAAACCTATCTATGGGTGCCTCTGGGAAAATGTGGATGCCTTCTGTGAATTATCTAAAGAAGAAATGTTCTGCACCCTGCTCTACATGTCATGTAAAAACGTGATGCAGAGAAAACACAAATAAAAGAAAGCAAATCCTCACTGATATGTGAAACTCAGCAGACTGCACTAATTAAAGGCATATATATAAAGGAAATAATCATGAAAATGAAGGGCAAACTGGCTTGTGGCCCTTCTAAGGGAAATAGTAACAAAATAAAATTAACCTTGTAATCAAATATAATCATGCTACACAAAGCACTAATAAAAAGATAGAGATGTAAATCAGTCCTAAAAATGTAAATCAGTAGGTTAGTAATCCCTAAAGATGTGAGTTAGTAACAGGACCCTGACTGGAGGCAGGTAACCTGAAAAAAAAAAAACCAAAGGATATCACATTTGTTAAAAATTCATCCCACAAACGAGAGAATTTGTAACGGTCCACCAATCAGTGGAAAAGAATCCGGTCAGAACAGAGTTTTGAATCTGGTATTGCGGACCCACAGAGACACGAGTTTGGACGTATCTGTGGGAGCAGGCTCATAAGCGATTTGGTTATCAAACTGTTTGTATCTTGTGTTACGAACCCACAGGGAAACGTGTTTGAATTTACCTGAGGGTTCCGTCCGGAACTGGAGTGAAGCTGATGGTTTAGCTGTTAGATCAGAACCTGATTTTACCTGCTCAAAGTTGGGTTGCAGCTTATCTGAGGCGACTTTGTTGTGATCAGAAATGGTATTGAACTGGAAATGCGAAAATGATGCTCGCAAAGCAGGAGGAGGCTCTCCACCCCCCTTTTGTTGCTCAAACCTATGCCATGTCTGTGAGACAGGAGAAGCATAACAAACAGTTCTTAAGCTCTTACAAGCCCTATTACCAAGAAGATGCACAGCGTCACCTGAATCGTGCTGAAAGAGTAGGTGTTCAGATGTCCAAAGACCTGGAGGTGTTGGACTTGGAGGTTCTGAAAAGGAGTGATCCAAGGATGGTTGTGTCACGGGTGTCAAAGCAAACCTAGCCATGTTTAGAATCAGATACAGACATGTCGCTAGCTTTAGGAACATGGTCTGTCCTGAAAACTGAAGCCAAGAATACTTTATTCCCAAGAATGATGGAGGTTCCCACACTGAATCAGAAAAACCCGGTTTAACCAGAGTATTTACAGACTGACTAGAACTCCGCCCCGTAGAAGGTGCAGCACCTAACTCCGGGTCGGAGGTCAATGTCGTCAGCTGAATTGGTGGAAGGTCAGTGTCGATTTCTGCAATGACCCGCCCGCTCGGAGGAGGCGTTCCCCCGAACCGGTTGAAGTCCGCAACGGAAAACTCAGAGCCACTCAGCACCCCCCCCTTTGTCAGGAGGGGCCCCAAGCAGAGCATCACTGCACGCACCTACACCTCCCGGGCCGGGTTGCCTTCCCGAGCCCGTGAGAGAGGTGTGCGCAGCAACCACCGAGCCACCTTTAATATCGCCACTGACCACAGGACTGCTGGAAACCGCAGGGTTTTCTGTGTCGTCGTGGTCACCTGTAAGAGAAATCACAGGAAAGAGAGCACAGAGGCCAGAGACTAAGTCACACCCCTGTGAAAGGAGAAAAGAATTGGCCACCGTATTAGCAGAGGTCACAAACTGAAAAGTGACAAGGTCATTCACATAAAGGTCAAGATGTCCGGGCACAAACCCCTTAAATGGCATGGTAGCTCCGTCCGGAGACCACAAGTGTTTCACGGCGGCTGACGTTCCCATCACGCCCCGATAAAGAAGCTGGTTTGTGCATGAGGCGGACTGACGAGTAAAACAGACCTCTGACTGAAGCGGTGGGTCACAGCCTGAAGATTTCACACCCATGCTGGAGGGATGTTCAGCCTTTAACATGGATGACAGAGGAGAAGCATTAGGAACCAAAGGGTTAAGCACAACCTGTTTGTCAGAGAGGTTAACCATAGGCTCAAGAGATTCATTCAGCTTAAAAGTAGCAGAGAAAGTGTTGTTTATTTCAAACCTTGATGTTGATGGTGGGTTTTTGACCCCCTGGAAGAAATAAAAGTAAAGAAAAAGCATTATGACTGTAAACAGCATGTTGCATGAATTCACGTCATGAATTGCAGACCAGAACCACCTCCGACCCAGTGCAGCTGGCACCGAACCGCAGCCACTAGTCCCCACTGCTCCCGACCGGCGGCACCCGCCTAAAACGGGCCCGTTCGGGCGGGCGGAGGGACCAGCGATGCTCGGCCGGTGAGCAGTCTCCTGCGTCTTGGCATGTTCTGGAAGCAGAACGTCAGAGAACCTTACACCAGGTGTAACAGTGCAAGAAAGATTTTGTCGTGTCTCGTCCATCTCCCATTAAGTTCAGAGCAACTCGCGTTTTTACCTTCTGAGCCGACGTAAAACTCCGGGCAGATTCCTTAATATGTCTCACACAAACGAGGACTGTCCGTAGCCTACTTAACTTTATGACACAGGGTAAAACAAGGAATCGTTGATAGAGAAATGAATACACACAACTTCACAAGATGGAAGAAAAAGGGATGGATCCGAGCGATGGAGGCTGTGAAAGCCGACCCGATCACCGGTCCAAAATAAAAATAATAAAAAAAATAATAAACCCTACGCTGCCGAGATGCTATCAGACGGACAAACGTAGCAAAATGTAGATTCTACACACCGTAGCGATTTACAAGAATCACCGCCAATGCGGGTTTTGTGAGGACACAGACTAACTGTGTCAGAAATGGTATGACAATCTAACGGGACGCGTTCCCTTTTTGTCTAACTGTGGTGCTAGCTTAGCTCTCCGGCCAGGTCTAGCGTTCTTTGTCTGTAGCGACCAGACTTAAATTTTCCCGATTAACAAGTAGGCGTCTCGCCCCGCTTGTAATACGGACTTCAAAAAACGTACGCAATCTGAATGCAGTAACGCGTGACGGCCATAACCCGGCTTACGACGTTTACCGTGCAATCAAGCAACAGTAGGTGCCTACGGGCATTCCGTTCAGATTGTTTCTATAAGTCGCCCATGCAATGGAGATATTTTCCACAATAGCTCGCCCACAGTGTCAACACACTGAGACGAAAGTTGTCCGAGAATTTAGTCTCGGTTCTGAGGTTCGGAGAATTTAGTGTTAATTTTAGGAACTGAGGATAAGCTGCTCACGGTAGCTCACCCAGCAATGGTCAGAGCGGAAACGTAGCTTTCCGACCTGAGGGTAGATTAGAGACGCGGCGGCGCGTCAAAATGGACAGAATTTAGTCAAAAGCACAACTCACACGTTCGCTCCGAAGGCGAAGATGGGATAAATCAAAGTTAGGTCTGTAATTTGCGGTCAATTTGAGATCGGAGATCTTCCCGGTCAAGTTTCCACCAGGACGCCTCCCGGAAGAGTGACTTCAGCGGAACAATTTCCGGTTAAGTTCAAAATAAGACATCAAAGTGAAACACAGAGAAAAGCGTTGTTTGTAGCTTTTAGATGTAAGAAATCAGACATATCGCAGATATAGAAGACTGGATACGCTCGCCATTAAATGTAGCGTTATGGATTTATGCTCTTTTATGAAAGAGAAACCATGCTACGTATTAATTCGGAATATTAATTTTAATAAATCAATAACCAAATTTTATATTGTTCAGAAGACTCAAAGGTTGTTTTCATCCATAAACTGCCGATAATATCTGAGTGTCTGTTTTTCAGTTCAATGAGGAAACAAGTTTGAAGGATTAAAAGTTTTAATTCTTCAAATTAAACTAATGATTTTGAAAATTGACAAACAGGAAATAACAATCACATTGGCAACTTTGTGGGACAATCTTTTAACAGTTTATATGCTGTTCTTGCTCAAATAGACCTTCTGGTGAATTTATGAAGATTGAGAATGTTGTGACATGAATGCGTGTGTGAGTCTGATTTTGCTTCAAGAAGAAACAGGTGTCTGAGTGAAGTGATGGTTTGGATAAACTTAGGTCTTATCAGAGAACTGCATCAAACGCTAAAAACCGTGCTCTGTCTCACCGAACTCTTGTGGACCCTCTTTCGGATCCGGGCTGTGGAGGATGTTGTGGTTCATCCAGATGACACCGGCGGCTGACAGGAGACATAGGTGTCGAACGGAACCGGTCCAGAGTTGCCCTCGGTACACGTGGATGGTAGAGCGTTTTATCGATGCGCTTTCTTAAGTTAATTCACTCAGAAATCAAAAGACTCGGTAATGAGTCTTCGTTAGAAGTCGCGATTCAGCTATTCTGCCTGGCTTGGCAGAAACAGCGTGAAAGGGGGGAAGAACGAGCCAACAGGCTCTGCCCCCCCTTTGGTTTTCAGGTCTGTTCTCTCTCGTTGTCCAACACGAACTGAATCATAAAACTGAAAACTTACCAAAAACCTCTCTTCTCAAAGCAAAACATGTGCGTCATCAAATGTGTCTGGAGTTTACTGTGGGAAAGATGTGTGTGGGTGTGTGTGAATGTTTGTGTGCTTGAGTGTGAAGGTCAGTACCACACATTCAACATTATCTACTTAAGTGTGGATTCATTAATCCATTATAATTACCCCAAAGCATAAGAACCATTCATTTGATTAAACACATTTATAATGAGCAAAATGATAATGGTTATTTTAACATTAAAATCAAGAAAAAGAAGTTTAAACTTTATGTTTTGACTTGGTCTGGGTACAACTCATGTAAACACATCTTCTGGTAGACTGCAGGTGGCTGATGTTATGGTTTCCTCCCAGACTCGCTGGCGTTCAGGACTTAATCTGTGGGTGAAAGTTCTCAATGACCCAGCTTTCACCTAGCTGCGTCCAGCACCACCTTTGTGATAGAAAACCCATATTTCCTCACGTTACAAGAATAAAAGGACATGTTTATTCAATTAAAGCAAAAAAACAAAAATGACCATTTGCAGTCTCTTGTGGGCCTACGGATCTTTTTGTTATTGTGGAAAGTAAGATTTCATTCCATATGTTCTTCAGAATGGGCCAGAATATGATGATTACGCAAATAAATAAATATAAGTAAAACAGAAATTGCTTATCGTCCCTCGCACCCGATTTAAGACTCGTGGTGATCGGGCTTTTCAACTCCTTGCATTCTCTCTCTGTAACCAGCTCCCACTCACAATCAAACAGTCCCCATCATTGCTAGTCTTTAAAAGCAGGTTGAAGACTCATTTTTATAGGATGACTTTCTCCTAAAGCTTTTGGTTTCTGGTTTTTATTTTTTGTTCTTAGCTTTCTTTTAACTAAATAATTTAAATTTTCTTTTATCTAAATTTAGTCTCATTGGCATTTTATTGTTCTCGCAAATGTCTATGTTCTTATTTTGCTTTTAATGTTTTTATGACTTGCTACTTTGATCTTTGTTACTTTTCTTGTCCAGCGCCTTGGGCCCCCATTGAGGGTGGTGGAAAATGCTATATAAATTAAACAGAAGAAGAAGATGCACTAAAGTGACAAGTCATTGTCTATCCATGTCTACAGCACAATGAGACACTCATTTATATAGTTTATCAGCAAAAAAAAGTTTATTTGGGGTGACTTGCTCTTTAAATTTGTATGCAGTAATGAAGGATTACTGAAACCCCATTATCTCTACATAAGAGAAATATTCTGTTAAACAAGGACATGCATTAATTCACCTTAAAGACAAGATTTACAATACGGGTATTAGATTCACCTCATTATGCAGCTCTGGCGATGCTTGGGCTTTGATCTGTGTCACTGAGCATATCCAGTCCTGGAAATATAACCTGGAAGTCAGCAGGAACAATTTGTGTCTCTTCTGAGGGGGGTTGGTGGACTCAAGAGACAAAAGGAAGGTGAACTTCAAATGAGGAAAATGATGAGATATGGACTTTTGTAGAGGAATTTTTAAAACTTCAACTTTCTCAACTATTATTGAACACAATCTATATTCAGACACAGTTAGAAAGCCCCAAAAGCAACACCAGGCCTTTTCTGCAGGTTTTGTTTTTCATTAAATCCAGCTTGTTTTGATGTGAATTTTCCCTAACTTGTATTTTTAATACGTTTGCAGTGGTCACCAGTAGAAATGAATGCCTTGTAGGTCATTCTTTGGGAAGAAAAACTCAGATGCTTCTGTTTGAGGTCAGCCAGAGGAGAAAGTGGGAGAAGACAGTAGGATTTTGAGTTTAGCGTCCTGATATTCAGACATCTCGCCTGTGATTGGCTAACAGCAACTGACATGCAATATAGATGTTTTATCTCTACACAAGCCTGAAGGAACTCTGCTTTGTGGTGGAGTAACTAATGCTAACAGTTAGCTTATGCCAGTGGTTCCCAACCTTTTTCCCAAGGGACCCCGTTTTTACCAGTAAAATTTTTGACGACCCCCTCCCATTCTCTCTTCCAGTACAAACAGTATTAAGAAATGATAAAATTGTTCAAGCACATTTTAATATGCTTTGATTCAATACATAACAGTAATAGTAGGCTCCAGTACAGAACAAAGTCATTAACAAAACCAAACAGAGCATAATGCGCTTGACAGTTTGTATTACTTTTCTGAACATATTGTTTCTTGTAAACACTGATAAATCAATCATTCCTTTCAATAAAAGTTTGACACATAAAAAATACACTGAGCAAAATGTACTTAAATGTGTATATTACCATTTATACTAGATTATTTACTGTAAACGCTGTGATTAATCAACCAGTCCTATCTTTAATGAACTTTTGACACTTGAAAATAAAACAGTGAGCTGAGCAAAATGTTCTTAAAAGTGTGTTACTTTTTCTGTTCTAATTATTTCCTGTCTTAATATCAGTAAACTTTTCACTCATAAAAAATGTGAGCAAAATGTAGGCTATAAACAAGTAATAAATGAAGTTTTAACCCCGTAAAGTGGAGAGGTCCTGGCGACCCACTGAGAGGCTTTGGCGTCCCCTTGTGGGGGTTGGGACCCCCAGGTTAGGAACCACTGGCTTATGCTATAGTCGAGACGTTCTTTGCCATTTCCTGGATGCTAAACCAACAGCCTTTCTCGTCACAAGTCAAGATGGCGTTATATAACAGTGTAATGAAAATCTGCCCGGTTTTTCTGAACTTAACGTATTTCCATCTATTTTTTTCTATCAGAAGCTAAAGCAGGTAGAACATTATTTTCACATTCACTCTGCATGTTACACTCAGAATGACTGATTGTTTTAAAAAATAATAAGAAAAAATGGTTTCTTGTTAAAGCAAGTCTTTAATCAAAGTTTTTAAACGCTTTCTTTCAAAAAGACTTAAACCACAACTCTTTATCTTGTTGTTGCAAATATAAGTATGTTGGTGTGACGTTATCAGTTTAATTTTAAAGCAGTTGAGAAAGAGAGTGAAACGAGGTCATCTAGTGGGGACACTAGGCATTACAAGGCAAACCAGGAAGTTTGTCAAACGTGCACTGGTCAAAGCCAGTGCCACACTGCCTTTCTTTTCAGTTAAGCCTAAGGCCTAGTCCACACGTAGCCGGGGTTTTTTAAAAACGAATATCCCCCCTCCAAAAACTTGCATCCACACCACCTCGTTTTAAAACAAAACTCTGTCCACACATACCCGGATAAATACGTTGTTAAGAACATGCCAGACCTGTAGGCGGCAGTACTTCCCCCGCTCTTAACCTCATCCTTTGTCTGTGGTCTTCCGCAAGGAGCAGTAATTCCGCTTGCAAAAACAAACAAGCAAAAAGCGCTTGGACAATTGATAAAGCGAGCGCAGCTCTGAGGGCTTCCATGCTGCCGGCTAGTGTGAACCATAGGTGTGAACACAGGTCGCACACGTGATGTCAGCATTTTTTTGTCGCGGAAAGTGACGTTGTGGATCTTAAAACTCCGGTTTTGTCTGTCCACACGCAGACACCCAAAAAGGAGAAAACGCAGATCTTCACTTTGGCCGGAGTTTTTAAAAAGATCCGTTTTCGTGTGAAAAAACTCCGTTTTCGTGTGGATGACAGGCCAAAACGTAGAAAAATAGCTACATTTTGGCAGATCCCTGGCTACGTGTGGACAGGGCCAAAAACGGCGTTGTCTGTAAGTAGTATGCATTTCTTCTGTTTAATCATGTCATTCTACATTTTGTGTTGAACTTGTAATCTTTTAACTTCCTGTAATGTGATTGTGTTTCTGTATTTTATGTTTTTCAGTTTTACATGTACCTCATTAAGCCCTGCTAAAAGAAACTTTGAAGTGCTTCTTGCAGACGAATGAGGGAGTGTTTAGCTACCCATATAGCTGAGTTATTGTCAACCGAAGCAGTGCTCAGCGAGGCCGGGACAGTAAAAAGATGTTCCATGCAGGAAATTCAGGGAAAAGGACAAATGGGGAACCATGGACAACAAAGACAAAGAACCAAAGGCAAGTGGGCCAGACTCAAATCACCCAAATAAAGACATGTTTGACGCACATTCTGCACGTAGTGCCGCACTAAATCATCATGCTCATCTTTAAGCTCCACAGCCAGCCTTGCTGCAGCTAAAGCAAGAGCTAAGGCAGAAGCTGCCAAAGCTAAACTTAAGTTTGTGAAAGAAGAGACAAACATCCAGTATTCAAAATTATTCTAGTTAATGTCTACCCTCATGGTGAGCGCAAAAAAGACAAAACTTGAAGCTTCACTACGGGCACTTAACCTTCAAAAAGAAGTTAATGCAGCAAATGCAGAGGCAGCTGTACTAGAGGCAGCAGTCATAGACATAGACTCAGAAAGCTACCACAAACCAGAAGACTCCTTTAACCTAACCATATAAACACTGAAAAGGACAGAGGACTATGTAAGACATCAGTCATCTATCGTCATTCAGTATGTTCACATGAGGGATATGTCTGCTCCGCCCCCAAGCTTATCCTGCTATCCTTTGTCGGATAATTTTGCTCCTCCTCCTATACATACTGTGGAGAGGACAGAAGATAATGTTAAGCAGTCTGTCTCCATGCCTAATCTGGTTAAAGAAGATGTCAAAAACTGCCATTCTTCACCACTGAACCAAGCAGCTGCACAAACTTTACCTGGAAGCCCAGAAAACAACACAATGGATCTGGCAAGGTTTTTAGCTCTGAGCCAAGTCATAACTGCAGGTCTAGCTAAATTTGATGATACTCCAGATCATTACCAAGTCTGGCGAGCTTCATTCATCAATGTTATAAATCCACTTGGACTGACACCAAGTGAGGAAATTTATCTGATGGTGAAGTGGCTTGGTAGAGATTCAAGTGAGCATGCAGTGAGGATAAGGGCAGTCAATGCACACCAGCCCATGATAGGGTTAAAAGCAGTATGGTCGAGACTTGACAAAATGTACGGCTCCCCTGAGGCAATTGAAAATGCCCTCTTCTCCAGAGTTGAAGCCTTTCCAAAAATTCAGTCCAAAGACACTCACAAGCTTCAGGAGCTTGCTGATCTCCAAGAGCTGGAGATAGCAAAACAGGATGATCAGTTACGCGGATTGGCATATTTGGATACGGCAAAGGGCGTACAACCAATTGTGGAGAAGTTACCATACCAACTTCAGGAGCGTTGGATGTCACAAGGCTCCAAATGTAAAACAGAGTATGAAGTGTTGTTTCCATCATTTTCCTTCTTCAAAGAGTTTGTACGCAGAGAAGCTGAAATAAGGAACAATCCTAGTTTCAAATTTCTTCCATTAATGAGCACCACAAAGAGGAAAGAAAGGTCCGGAACACTCAGACAACCTGCCACAGCCAATAAAACAAATATTGTGCGGGGCCAAATAAGTGGGTTTCCCAAGAAAGAAAACACTGTGGTAAATCCAGAAAAACAGTGCCCCATCCATAACAAACCCCATCCTCTGAGTAAATGTAGAGGATTTGTGAAGATGCCTCTTGATGATCGCA